TTCTTTAAAGTCACTTCGAGTTAGTCGGAGTCTATATAGGTTGTACTTCTACTCGGCACAGTTTTGTCACAGGTCTTTTATATGTCCCAATTTTGGTCTTCGTCTAAGGACCATGAAAACGAATGAAAAGCCAGAATGCGAACAGCTCTTTATTTCGGGTCAATAAAATCAAACCAAATCCAAAACAAAAGACAAACCAAAATGGACATTCTCGCGTCAAAGAAGGTCATACACACTCACACACTCAGTTTGAGTTGAAAATTTTCCCATTTTGCTTGGGTGGAGCGGCAGGGACCCTGGCTCTATTTCAAAATGTATTTATTGATACAACAGTTTTCTTGTGAAAATTCGAGGTATGTTTGTGTTTTTTTTTCTATCGTGAAAATATTTTATAATTGTGTTTTCACACGATGTAATAATATCCTCAATTTTTTCATTTAATTTTCGATTAATTCAGCACTTTCACTGTTATTCAATCAATCAATCAAGCCATTTGAGGACTTTTTCAACAGACAATACGCGTTAACTTGGTACGAAGATCCCGGTGCAATCCTCTGGGTTATATTTTTGTGAAATGTGTCCAATAAATATAATTTGGGAACGGTTGTGAGTTTTTTAAAGATTTGTACCTACCGCCGCCTAACGGTAGGCTAGGTAGGCTGATGGCAACCCTGACCCAGAGTTATGCCACACAGGAAGAAATAAAGTAATAATTTCGTCGACGCGGATTGGATTAATTCTTCCAAAACATGACTACGGCGCACTGTTGGTGCACTTTGTATTGCACTGCGGTAAAGTATAATGTTTTTGTAGTAAAACTAGATTATTGGTTATTTTATAAAGTAGTAGTAGTAAAGTAGTTAGGATGAAATAAATATTTTTGTGATAATAAATTATATATTTATAACAATTTCGGTATTATTACTTTTTATTACAAATGAGAAAATATTCCGTTTAAAATATTTATTTCAATATTAGATTATATTATATATATCGTTGCTTTTGAGGACAATTAGTTAACGTCTTCTCACATCCAAGGTGGCAGTTGGTGGCAGCTAAGATTTATAAAATCTAATCAAGACAGACTAATAGATCGATAAAGTGTTAGCGGTCGACCGCCGTAAAATTATATAGCTTTAAATTAATAAAATATTGGTTTTACATTAAGCATTCTTTAAAACGTAAATGACAAATATTAAAAAGATACAATCCTTTCAATATTATGCGTACCGACAAAATTATTTTTCTAGGCATTATAAAAAAACACAAGTATCGTAAATTTCTATTTAATTTAATATTAACCTTGAAAATACAGAAGATTTTATCTGCATCGGATATGTTTAGTCTCGTATTTCTACGTAATGTACAACTATTGGCAATTTGTTTTTGTAGCTTTTGTATCTATGGAATGTATAGTGTTGTATATATAATGTAAAATTTGTTTAGATAAATGTTCATAGAAAATACTTTTTTTTGCTAATGCACCATTGTGTGACGTCATAGAAGTGAAGATAGAGGTAAATCACCTGGTAATAAACCATAAACGGAGTAGTACTATTACTTACTATTCTTTTACTTGTAATATACCTATATACTCGTGTGCTCGTCGAAATAATAATTACATTATTTAATTTAATAATAAGTACATTATTGCAGAGGCCGTAAGGGATTGCTGGACGAGTATGAGTTACAAGAACGAGCAGCGAGGCCTTGTATATTAATACGAGTCAAGCAGTCCCCGTTCTCGCCTGTCTACCTATAGAATTTTTCTCAAACAATGTGAGGAATTAATAAGATAAGACTAAAGAGAGAAAGATGTTTAAGAGACAAAGTAAAAAAAAATATTATAAGTAAAATTGGACGTGTTACGACAATTGCTAGTCAAAATCTGCTGTCGTGCTAGTAAAATTTTTACACTTGAAAACGTCATTTTTAACCTAATGCTCGTTCACTACGCTGACCTCCCTGAGAACAAACAGAAACTCCAGGGATTGCTCGTTTCGAATAAACTTAAATGCTATAGAATACGCTTTGAATCATAATTGTGTGGATTCTAGACTCTTGTTGTCTTTCCATACTTCTTTATCTAACAAATACTCTTAAATTTCATAATATGAATTTTCATTTAAAATACTTTTAATGTAAGTTTTAAACTTAGGAAATGATAATCTTAATAATATTCTCCGAAATCTTATTGTAAAAACTTATACAGTTCCCCATAAAAGAAACGTTTACCTTAGTTAAACGAAATCGTGGTATCATGAGTTTGGACTTAGTTCTAAGGTTAATATTATGGATATCTTCCTTCTTAATGAAATTATATATATTTTTACGGGCATACAAAATATTTCAGTACTGTAATGCCACAGTCATGATACCAGTCTCTTAAAACTTTTCTCTGAGAGAAACCCGAGAATCTAAACGGTACACAGAACGCATCGTTCATTTTTGCAACACAAATATGGTTTGTATATCTACCGCTTTACCCCACGTGAGAATCCCGTAGGACATTATACTGTGAAAGTATCTAAAGTAAACTGGTAAGCTTACCGATGTAGCAGTAGCAACATCGGTAAGCTCACTTATTCTACGGACTGCGTATGCAGCAGAGCTTAATCTGCTGGCTAAGAAAGATATATTGTGGAAATCATTGAAGTTTACTGTCTAAGGTCACTCCCAAAAAGACAACTTTATTAACAAGGTCTAACTTCTCGCCATTTATTTCTATGATTGGACTAGTCGTTTTTCCAGTAGGTAATTCAAATTTAACACACTTGTTTTTATGGTTAAAAGAAAAAAAAATCTTGGTTAAAAGTTATTGTTATTAATAAATATGTTATTGTTTTTCCAGACACATTAATAGTAGTCCGGTGAACTTGTGTTGATGTGTTTGAATGTGTACCTATCACTGTATTTTCGTTATCGCTCTACTCACCCACTCATTTTAGCGACCAAAATACAAAAAAAAAAAACAAAAGAACACCAAAACATTTTAAATGTTACCGCCATTTTCTTTTTTTTTAAGTAAGCGGTATAAGGTATTTTTAATTCTCACAACTATGAACACTGACTGGGCAGTTGGCTGTTGAGTATTTCTTTTACCTGTTTACTTAGTGCATTATTAGAAGGTAGATTTAAAAGTTTAGAGAAGTGGACAGAACTGGATTTTCATACTCACTTTGTAGGCCTTGGCCGGGAAGAAGTCGCATAGTCCATAAATGACAAACTTTCCGTGTTCGTTTTTTGAAAGTAATGTAAACATTTCCGAGCATGTTTGAGAAAATTAATTTTAAGCTTATCCTACAAATTTACAATGTATAATTCTTGTGAAGTTTCATAATTGTCAGTAACGGACGTCCATGTATGAAGGTGGTACCTGAAAATCTGCATGTAGCGCTGAGGCTCCATCCTTTTCCTTGGCACTAGATTTCACATTTCCGAAACTGTTAACCTGTTTTTTGTAAATGGGCTTAAGAATAAATGTCTTATCATTATTATTATTATTATTATTAGAATGCTATCATTATACAAAACTAGAACTTTGCACAGCTACTGCTATGGGGCGCAAGAATAGCGCGAGTTGTTCAAATCAGAGATGTTATTTTGTCATAGTGTTGATGTAACTACTTAATATGACTTTGATTTCTAAGTGTGATGCCAGACGAGCGTAATTTTGTGAGTCGCGTAGTTTGAGTTGCGTAGTTTGCGCTGCATTCGTGTTCACATAAAAGTACGGTTTGTTTCACATGACGATGCAAAATGAGTTATCTGCCTAATCATGGACGTAATGACGACTGACTTTCGGTCGCATCGTGTGACGGGCTGGCGCAGGTGAGGTAGGGGTGAGGGAAGGGGCCACTTTGGCAAAGGATGCGCTTGAGTATAGACCTTTTTTTGCAGAAATGTTCGATACGGAGATTAAAATATAAATAGTTGAACAACTTACTTGATTGTTATTATTAGTCATTCCTCTGGACTGATGGCTCGTCTCATATTTGTATCTGACTTAGTAATAAAAGGTTTTACTTTGCTTAATAATTTTTGAAAAACACTTATTGGTATGTGGTAGTACTTAACAAACTGATCTAGATGCTAACATAAACTTGTATATAATATATGAAACTGCCACACTTTAATCATTTCATATTGAATGTATGTACTCAGCTTCTTTTTCTAACATCGTCTTCTAATTCTTCATAAATGAATACTATTTTTAATAGATCCATTACACTATTACGACACAAACACCCTGTATACACGCTTAAAAGCAACTGAATCAAATACCTTCGTCTAGCGCTCCAATCGAATTTCGGTCGAGCGCAAACTCAAAAAACGCAACTCACAAAATTACGCTCGTCTGGCCTCACCTTAAGCTACGGCCATTTTGTGAACGTTTGGAACCTGCATGTCGAAGAAGGTTCACAGCTAATAAAGTAGTGTTCTGCCCGCATTGGGTCAGCGTGGCTGACGATGACCTAAGTCTTCAACTGTGAGGATTTGGGGAGAGGAATTTGATTGAATGATTTGCTTAAAATCGAACAAGAAGAATCAAAGCAGAAAATGGACAGCACGCAATGCATTTCATATGAGATCAGTGACAGCGCGTCAATATGACAAGTTATCAAAATAAACTTTAGAGCATTTTAGATTTTTCAAATATTAAAACATAAAACTTTTATAAACACTATAAACAAAAAATGATAGGGTCGAACTAAACGTATAGTGTTTATCAAATATATAAAATAATATAAATAAAAAGTCGCAAAAAGTTTATGATGAAATTTTTTTGTATGGTGAAGTCAGGTGAGCGTATTGCAATGCTTGTATTAAGTAGACCGCAGTTTGCACGTTTTTGTTTTGATTATTCAACATCTTAAATTATCGTTAAGTAAGTCTCAATAAGACACTTTTTTTAAATACCAAAGCATAAATACATTGAATAGTAACCTAGTAGTTGTCGAATATAAGTACTGCAGTCTCATGATTCATGAAAGGTACCTTGTAACTATTACATATTGGAAGGGGTGCAGGTCAGCTAAAAATAGTAACGATTTTGAAAATACACAAAACGTTTTTTTATTGCTAAACAATTTTCCACTTGATATTATTGAACAAATTTACCTTTGTTACAGAATGTAAAATGAGAGCAATTTTATAGTACGGGATCATTGTTAAATTTGTGAACGAAGTGTCTAACAACATAACTAACCATGAAAACGGTAAGCTCTTCAGTCTGCTCTTGTCCTGATTGTGAATCTACGAGTTGCTTCACAGCAAGAAGCAAGGTTGGAATTGGATGCACATGCCAGAATTGCGAAAACTCCAAAACCTGCCTTTTTTTGGCAAATGATTCACTTAATCTAAAAGCGAGCAAAACCGATGCTTATTCTCAAATCTATACGGAATCAAATCGCAAGACCGACAAAATGAAGTTACCTCTGCAGAGTACTCGTCCCAAAATACATACCTGCTGCGGTAAAGCATTAGATGGCAAATTGAGACAAGTTGGCAGAACTGATGCTTACAAGAATAATGATAATGAAAAACCTAAATCGCTTGTTCGTAAAGGTACTGGTACGATCCATAAAATAGAATTTAACAACCTTTACGATTTAAACCACTTAGACACGCAGGATGTAGTTGATGTTGAAGACGATGTTTATATGGATGCTATCCTTAAAGCTCACAGTAGGGAACAAACGTCAGATGTATGCATTAAAGACGACGTCAGCCTTTTCGCTATGAATAACTCACAATGTGCAAATTCGTGTATTTTTGAAACGAATGCACTTGTTGAACCTTTTAAATTGATTCTCCAATCTAAAAAAAAGGAGGTGATATGTGAAAGACTTAACGAATCAAATTTACCCGACAAAATGTTCGATGTCGTTAATAACCGAAATGTATCGGCTAGCAAATCAGATACTACCAAAATAACTGACCAAATAAGAAGTAAGCTTGATGCGCATGATGCTAATAAAATGAACAAAGTAAAAAGTAAGTTTGGTACTTCAAAATTTGTGAGAGGAAATGCAGAGGTAACGAAAGAACAAGTTCAAAAGGAAATAGTTTATGAAAACGAAAGCGATACAAATATGGACATAGATAATGCTTGTACACAGCACGATGATAACAATCAAATTCAACCACTTTTAAGAGCAACTCGTAGTACAGCTGTTAGTTTTTCACGTTCTGTAACCAATAAAATATCAACAGCGCGACTAAGTGCACAAATAATGAATGTACCTTTTACGGATGTCCAAAGTTCGTTATCATGTGATTATTCTGTCGATAACATAAAAAAACCAGACAGTTTGAAATATGACCTTCTCAAAAAAATCAAAGACGTCTACAAAACGTGTACTTGTAAAGTTTGCGCATGTATTGCTAGTGTAAGTTTGTCACCATTGATAGGAAAAGAAGATTGCAACTGCAAACCTTGTGAATGTGATGAATGCCGTGCATATCGATCGCTAAAACATCCAGCGAGTTATAGGCTGCTTGTTGATGATTTCCATAATTGTGGTAATCTTAATACCAAGAAAGGTTGTTCAAACACTAACACGTGTAAATCAAGGTCTGAATTATGTGACTGTAAGCCTTGTGAATGTTTGGATTGTCTTAAGTATCACCATTTTCGAGGCATCTCGTGCGATTGTAAGCCATGCGAATGCGTTGAGTGCAAGAAAAACAGTGTTAAAAAAACTAGAACTTTAATAGTAGCACCTGTAGGTGAGGATAGCCAACATCGTCAATACTGCCAATGCTCTCCATGCGGTTGTGCTGAATGTGGCTTTAGCTACGGACATTTATCCCCGAACATGACTCAGGACATAGGGACATCTGCTTATTATAGGCATACTAGTTGCAATTGCGACTCCTGTATTAATGACGCTTGCACACAAAATGGAGACATGTGCATTTGTGAGCGACGCAATAAATTAATGCAAAAACCAGTTCGCAGCGACAAAAATGATTACGATATTCACAGCGTAATAGTATCTGACTCAAACAATACTAAAAAATATCGTAAAAATGCTACTCGTAACAACCACACTGTAGCAATGCTTGCATCATACGGTTACGCATCTAAACCAAATCGTGACTATAATAATTGTAACACGGACCATAAAAATGAAAATAATCATACTAAAAACTTTAAAGATTTACACATTTCCAATATAATAAACGATTGTTATCATAAAGAAAACCGTTGTGGCATGAATATTAACTTTAATAAAAATAAAACAGGTAATTGTTTACCAAATAAATACTGCGGTCGTGACGTTTGCATTAGTAGTACGCGTTTTACTTTGGATTGTTCTGATTACAAAGAAAGAAAGGCCTATAATCCAACGTTTTTGAATAAAATCAATACAAGTAAAGATGCACGCGTAATTATTCAAAAATGTTCGGGTAGCAGTAATTTTAATTCTGACTATTCCCGTCGATTATTAGTGAATAAAAATAATTCTAGTACACTTTTTGTTGGCAAGACTTCGTATTTATATAAAAAGTCAAGTACTACTGAGAATTGTGAGCAAAATTACAAAGTGTTTCGTATTGTCCCACAACAGTTAAATACTTCCAATTTATTTGCAAGAAACAAACACACGCCAATAAAAATGGATAATATAAATGTACTCACTAAGACTGGCTACAATGTTTCAAAGATAAGAACAGAATGCATTAAATGTAAAAAAATAGATTCTGATACATCTGTAAGTTATACTTCGGCTATGTCTTCATTTCTTCAACCAGAATTGCTCTCAAGCGCAAAAAATATTGAATTATTAGCACAGGTGAAACGACAAGTAAACAAATCAAGTGACAGTGGTAACAGCTCCGACCATGACAATTCTGATTATTTGATTCAATTCCCAAAGTGCGTCGTCGAAACTTGTATTAAAGACGTTTTAAATTTGGGTACAAAAATCAATGTGCCTAAAAGAAGTTCATCTGTAGAAAAATATTCTACCCCAAAGATGAAATTAAAAATACAGAATGAAGAGTCAAGTCGAAAGGGTATTCAACCAGGCCAGATTTATAAATGTTTTAATTGTGAAAAATGTTCATCTAAATCTAATTTAAAGTCAGAGAGATACACATGTAACTGTGCCGCTTGTTTGTCCTGTGAACTATGTATAAATAAAGATTCATATCTTAAGAAAACTGAAGAAACACAAACACTTGCAAAGGCTATAGATAAGGACATAAGCACTGTTCACTGTGCCAATCATATTGCTTGCTTAGATATTTCAACGGAGGACATTAGTAGTAGACCTTTTAAACTTTCTTTAGTGGACGTACAAAACCAAAACAGTATATTTTCCACAAATAATTGTAACTTTCCCGTTACTACTGCAGATAAAACAAAAAACGTGCTCTTCAATCAACTATACGACAATAATAATGTTCTATTTACGCCTGTTATTGACCATTCTATAGAAAATACCATACAAGGAGCGAGGCAATTTTCTATGAAACTTTTAGAATTGTTGCACAAATACCAAAAGGCTAACAGAGAATTCGAAAGTATAACTGAAAAATTAAAGATGGCGCAAGACGCAACTATAAGCGGAAATAATTATTTCAATTTAGATTCATACACGCAACGGTTTGAAGAGCCAGAAAAAGATGAAGTGCTATTTAATGAAAACGAACATTCAAACGCGTCCTTTATTGATAATAGAGACACACCGATCAAAGTTTACCCAACTTGTTACGCTGCTAATATCCAAAAATATAAGCGATCAAGTAAATTGTTTGATAACAATGAGGAATTATTAATACCCCATGATAATAAAGGGAATTGCCCTATGAGCACTAAAGAATTTTTACTTAATGATTACTTTCGTGCAAACACACCAAATTTAGACATCATCTCAAAAGTGAAATTGACGAATACATTCAGTACTTATAGGGCATATAGAAAACTTATTAAAAAAGCTTTTCGCACAACAAGACGCTCCAATATAAGAAAGAAAGTGCCCCGCAGTTCAGCTTATAAGATAAATAATGCATTCGAATCTAAAATGATCAGCACTAAGTCACAAACAGAAGCATTTAGTGGGTTAAAATGTGGGGTTGATATTGAATATAGGTCGTTTAGAAATATTGAGGTTCAGTTTGATGAAATGTCAAAGGAAGAAAATGTTACGTGCAAGAAAGGAAATATGGATTTTAAAGAAGATTTCGAATCCCAGGTATGATAACTAGTTTATACTGTAAGTAAATATAATAATTAGAACATTTAGTAAATAATACTAAATAATCTCACTAGTATCATGGATGAGTGTAGATTCAGTGGCTAGAACTTAACCTCTTGCAGTTAGTAGGGTGATGAACAGGGGGAGGTAAATAAAAAAAAAGCAAGTAAAAGTATTTGTCTACATGGTAACTTACATTCTTTCTTTGCTTCTCTTTTATTTGGTCTACATTACTCAAGTTAAATTTTATTTTATTCATGGCAGTATATTCAAGAAAAAGTATCCAGTATTAATTTCATACGATCACCCTATGAAACCAAGAGTAATTCGACATCAACAAACCTACGCGAAACATCTACTGGAATCCAGGTTTCAGAACCAATCGTGGTGGAGGAATGGAACAGTTGTGGTCATGAAGCTTTGGTACGGATTTTAAATTTAGTGTTTGAAAGATCAGATAATGGAAGCAAAACTATTTAATACTATTTATTATATTTAGGCGCTTCATTCTCGATATAATATTTAACCAGGTAGTTTCTTTATCTTCCTAGGCAACATTGCACGTTTTTAGAGTAAAAATAAACAAAAAAGAAAGTTTTTTCGTTGATACTTTCTACCAGGCATCAACTGTAATTTTCTATCCTCATTCCTTTTTCGTGCGTGGCAACAAGCACATCTCCACAGCTCCGTTAAAATGTCAAAGTGAACAAACCTAGAAAGAATCGAACATTATAAAAGTTTTTAAATACTTGGAAAATACGGACGCCAAACGTCGTCGGCGTTCTATGATCATAATATAATCGGACGAGTCGGACGTTGATCAAGGTAAAATTTTATTATATAATTCTTACGCTCATAAATAATGAAAATAAAAAATGAAAATATTCATTGTTATCATACAGCACTACTTGCTACTTCAGCAATGATAATAAATGTTCGCTTTCATACTTCGCAAATGTGAATGTAGTCGACATTTAATAAAATATCGGGTTAACTGCGAGTTATCCCCGATAACCAAATCCAATATGAGTGGATCAAAATCCGAACAGCTATACTAATATATGCATTTTACATAATTTTACGTTAAACCACGACAGTGAGTCGATTTTAATTTGCACAGTACTTATTAGTACTTATAAGTGCTAATAAGTGAAGTATATCTTTGAAATAAAATTACGTCGGGGTTAACTGCGAGTTAATCACGATAACGAAATCGGCTGCGAGTCGATTTTGATTATTATTATTATATATAAAAGTATATTCAAAATTTAATTAAGTCGGGGTTAACCATGGGTTAACTGCGATAAGAAATCAATTGCGAGTTATTTCAATTTCAATCCCACATACGTGCAATTAATAAGTTTAAACGAAACACGCCGTAGTTAAAACTCAATTATCTATCTAAAACAATTGTAAAGAAGATCGTTAATGATTTTAGGCGACAGCATCGCATAGTCACATGGGACTTGTCAACTTACGCCTCAGTGACCGGACGTGACGGGCGCAGTGGTAGTGCCCCTCAGATCTTTGCAATTTAAAGCTCTGAGTGGCACTGTAACTGTTATGGACAGACGTGTAGCTTGCCATCAGGCGCACGACTTGTTCGTGCCGTCACTTGATGTTATAAATTTTGTAGTATGTTCAAAATTACTTTTTTTTTATTATTTTTTCATGAAAATAGTACAATAATTCCTGATATTTCTGAGTCACGTGCGTGTACTATGTAAAGTGATCTATCCCTTGTGAAGTTTTGGTTCAGGAGGCGTCCAGTCCAAATCGAAATCATTATTATCATAAAGATCAACGGGAGTATCAACAAAATTTTCATTATCAAATAATTGAGGGCTATTTTGCCTAGAGAGAGTCTAGCTGTGCAGACAGCCGCCATATCTTTCTGCATACATACAGTTTTGTTTATAGTGACCTTCCAAATCAACCTCTTGGTTATACGGGAAGGGCACTATAACCTGTGCGAGCAAGCCCGCACAGGGACCTTCTCAGTCAGGTCCTGGCCTCAGATCAGCCCGTTTGCACGGACTTCATCTGGTTCTTAAAAGGCTAGTGCCTTGGGTGAGCTGCCCCGGGTACACGTACAGCACCCTCTGGAAAATAGTCCCAGATAGGTACCGAAGCTGTAGGCAATCGTTAAGCCATCGACTCTAAGTCAACTACCAAATCTCTTCTTAGGTGGCGGAGCTGTAGGCACGCTCATTTCTCGACGTGTCTCTGCAGTTCCCATAAATCTACGCATCTCTCCGGGCTAGTGCCGAAGATGCTGGTCGTAGTGTCTTGCGACATGTCCGAACATAGCTTCCGACTTAAAGTGCAACCCACGTGACCCGTGCATCTCTTCGCCATAGGCCATCGTCTCGACCGCGACTAAAACGCGATAGCTGCGTGCGGGGCAAACGCCCCGGTCACTTGTTCGGGACTGGGACGAACGTGTTAATCCCTGCAACTAACAACGAACTCGGGCGAGTCCATACCTAAGTCCGGGTCCACCAGAGACGCCCGTGAAGGCGTATCACTGGCGGAGGGCTTGGCCCGGATGCCCGCCGTACCCTGGTTTTACCGAGGAGCCCGTAGTCTCTCCTGAACTCCCTATCTGTCACTCACTGTAGCCACTCGAATGAGAACCTAATTTGTGGCTTTGACATGGAGATGTTTGCCAAGTTGATTCATGGCCAATTTGTAACAAGCTGTTCAATATATTGTTACCAGAACCCACTGATTGGATTGGTACAGGAACTTTTTCATATTTAAACAGAAATTTTTCTTGAATTTATGTAAGGGTAACGGGAGTATCTAACCTCAATTTGGGGATTTCGCGGTGTATTCCTTGATCAGCCACCGGCGAATCGTGGTCAATATACTATTATTTGTTTTCGTTATCTTATAACATTATGCTGTGTCTGTACTAAAGCTTAACACTGTAACTCCGAACTTACAATAAAGTGCTTCGTAGTGGGTAGCGGTCTTACATCAAAATACTTTTAAAGAACTCAGTACCTATGGCGAATTTCGTAGACACATAAAACTGTGTGGGTCGATAGAGCTCGAAAAATTATGTAAGATACCGTTAAAAACTCAAAATCGTAAAAAATAGAGTTACAGTGTTATGTTTCTCAGGTACGGAATGTTAATGCAACCATTAACTAACTGCAATATTTAGGCTTCATCATTAATTACGACAAGTTTGTGTTACAATCATGTCAAGTTTGTACAGTTCTAGGATTAAATTTTGATTCACGAAATATAAGTTTACCTTTAGAAAAACGTAAAAAATGTACCATTTAGTTAAAAAAATCATCAGGTTACCACGATGTACCATATAGGAGCACGTTCAATTGATTGGTCATCTCAGCCTGCCCAGCCACTAAATACGGTTGGTTATATATTAAACTATAGGAAATACAGAAATTTCTAAGTCTTCAAAAACATGTGACCGCCAGGATGGTTGGTTGCCTGTGGCGTCTGGCACTGAGTATATATTCAAGAAGTGCTACCTATTTGCTACTTTTTCTAAATAATTGCTACCTTTGATATATTTTAAGAATTTAAAAAATAATTGACCGGCCATTGTGATATCAAAATGGCTGGTGACCACTTTGTTCAGCATGAAGGGAGCAGATTTTCCAGAAGTATGTATTACCAATAACTGCTACCAATTTGCTACTTTCACAAATTAAGAGTATAAGCTTCTTATCTTCCTTACTTTCCAAAAATATAACTGATTGAAAATTTTATGAAGAAGTGTCTGGTTAAATTATAATAGCAAAAGTTTTTAGTGCTTTATCTTCATAATGTAAAGGGCAGGCGTTATACACTTAGATAATATAATTTTATCCCTAAAGCTCTGGTGGAAATTTTGCAACAATAACAGTCAAGATCTCTTTAAGACGTCAATGACATAAATAATAAAATTCTTAATGCAGGTATTTAACACGTTAACTGCCATACGAGTATACTCGTAGTATTTTTTTTTATATGGCTATTGCCACTATACAAAATGGTAGGTACGTGTATACTCGTAGTTGGCAGTGGACCCTAGTTCAAAATACGAGTTTACTCGTAGTTTGGCAATAAAATAGGATTTTTATTAGCTATTGCCAAACTACGAGTATAGTCGTAAATAATTCAAAACCTATTCTGGTTCCCGTGTCAAATAAAAACGGTAGGGTTTCAATGAAACCTAATGTAGTCAGAGATTATAATAACGGAATGTCCGGGATCGATCTTTCAGACCAAATGCTCTCGTACTACTCAGCTCTTAGAAAGACATTGTTTTGGTACAAAAAACTAGCGATCCACATTTTTGAAATTTTCATCCATAATGCATGCATGATCTACAACCAACAAGCCAACCTTCCTCCAGAAAACAAAATAGATGCTCTTTCGTTCAAAGATGAGGTTGTAAAATATCTTTTAGGCGAGAAATTCACAAAACACAGACTTCAGGAGCAGAAAAAGCAAGTACAATTACATTACTTAGAGCGTTTACCACCTACCCAAAAAAAACAAAAACCGACGAAGCCGTGTCGTGTCTGCACCAAAGAAAAAAAACGCAAAGAAACAGTTTACTATTGTCCGGTATGCCCTGAAAAACCTGCCTTATGCGTTGAAAATTGTTTTAAAATTTTTCACTCCTTTGTGACTTCACAGTGATGTAACTAATTTTTTTTGTATGAAACTTAATTTTCTGATTTAATTAATGTTTTATTTCAAATGCCAAAGAATTTAACCCCGCCTTCCTTACACGGCCACTGTTTAAAAATTCGTTAGAAATCGCATACAATCAACTACGAAAATACTCGTAGTTGGCGGTGCCGCCCAGATCATGTACTACGAGTATACTCGTAGGTTGGCAGGCAACGTGTTAATAAGTTCGTAGGGAACCGTGAGCAGCCATCTCCCTGCTTTATCTCTTTTATGGCCTAAAACAGACTTTGATGCCCACATAAAAAGATTAATTTAGTGGCGCATTTTGATTGAAACCCAGTGTACCAAAGTATAGCAATACTTGGAATCCTCAAGTCGCTCTCGCATTAGTCCCAACGTGGTTTCCTGCCACAGAACTTCCTCTTGAAAAACTTACGAAAAAACACGTTATTTTACTTGCACTTTGTACTGCACATCGTTTTATTATTATTATTTATTTGAATTTAAGAAAAGGGGGGTACAATATATTTAAATAAACATAGTCCTACAAAACTGTATATTACAGTTTGACTGCAGGATCAAAATGAGTCTCAATTAAGCAAAAAGTTACAAACTGACACTAATGTTGTTAAAAATACTTGAAACAATACGATTATTAACTATTCAACAATAATTTGTGAAATAATGCTCTTTCCACATTTTTTAAATTTACACTTTTTTCACATTTAGTTTCACATCTCTGGTAGTAGTCACATCTCTGGCCAGGACTGGTAGCTGTAAAGGTACTAACTGGGTGATAAATCTTTCACAGGTTTCTCATAGATGGCGCTACGACTAAAAAAAAAGTTGTTGAAAAACCAAATACAAAGACACGACCCAAGCACATAGAAAAATTCGTGAGGTCCGTTGGTTCGTTCCGTGGCTTAGTTGGCATAGCGTCTGGCACGGTGTGCAAGAAGACGTCGGTTCGAATCCGACCGGACCGAAGGAATTTTTTTCTGAGTATTCGATCTTTGTATTAATAATTATAACAAACTAGTGGAGTAATTTCACAAAAAAGAATTGAATATTAATTCAATGAAAATTTAATTAATACAGTGAATAGCGACATCTCTGGCCAGGACTGGTAGCTGTAAAGGTACTAACTGGGTGATAAATCTTTCATAGATTTCTCATAGATGGCGCTACGACTAAAAAAAGTCGTTGAAAAACCAAATACAAAGACACGACCCAAGCACATAGAAAAATTCGTGAGGTCCCTTGGTTCGTTCCGTGGCTTAGTTGGTATAGCGTCTGGCACGGTGTGCAAGAGGAATTTTTTTCTGAGTGTTCGATCTTTGTATTAATAATTATAACAAACTAGTCTAGTAATTTCACAAAAAAGAATTGAATATTAATGCAATGAAATTTAATTAACGCATTTTTTATTCTCTAAAAACCGTGCAATGTTGCCTAGCAGTGAAACTACTTGGTTAAATATTATATCTTCGAATGAAGCGACTCACATAATAGTGATCGAACTTCACTTTGAGAAATTCGTTTAATCATCTGTTATATGAAATAAAAATTGTTTAAAAAAATAATGTATCTATACTTGCAGCTGAAGCTTCAAAAGGAAGTGGACGATTTGCTGCAAATGTCGCTGCTTAGTTCCCATTCTTTGGATTTATCACTTAAAGAGCAGAAAGATTCAGTTCATTCGGAGGTATATGTTAACTTTTTATTAAAATTTGAATGAATTCCACGACATTTATGTATGACATTTTGTCATACTTTTTATACGATTACGGTTAAGTTTACTCATTAAAAGTAATCGTAGTCAAAATGTAAAAATGAAATGATTTTTCAGACACATCTTAACATGAATGTCGAAGGTCACATCGACTGTGCATCAGTAGTGGAAGAAAATAATCTCCGAGTCCCAGCTGTGATAAACTATGAACAACATGCACCAGTATTAAAATCAATACCGGTAGTGGAAGAAAAAGATACCCGAACGTCACTCATGAACGGAAAATACCGGAGTACGCCAGACGTGGACGTAAACAATGTACAAGTCGTGCAACACGCAGCCAGCGGAATGCCAGCGTATATCGAGTGTATGCAAAACGTGAATAAACGTGCCCGCAGTACGCCAGTGGTGCAAGAAACAAAACAATATGTACCAGTCCCAGGAGAAAGCCAACGATTTGTAAAATTTTTAGAAGACGAAGATCACCAAAAACCACTTGTGAACAACGAAGACCACCAAAAACAATTGAAGCAAAAAGAGCAGTCTTCTATCGTGCTTTCATCTGCAAAGGTAACTGTTACTTGATCCATAATTTTTATATAACTGACAAAAACTTCTAGCCTGAGTGTACTAGGTATGTCCAAAGGCTGCTTCCCACGGCCCGTGGTTTCACGCGCCGTGTGAAAAAGGGCCACCCAAGTGCACCCAATGCTCGCCCGTGACTCCCATGACGCAAGAGCGCGTGTCGCGGCGTGGATTTCGCGCGCGAGCTTTTGGCGCTTATTCGGTATTTGACATAGATGTGTGTCGATATAAAATAATTCGAACAGCACCTATGACCCGATAACCCGGTACTAGCTTTTAAATAACCCGATCATTTTAGAGTTTCATATGACCCATGAATATTCGACGCGCAATATTCGACTTTATCTTTATGATTTTAGAGAGTATTCAACAATTCGCAATATTATTGTTGTCTCGTTCACTCTCACGTGAAGTCCCCACTCACGACACGGTTCGCTTTCTCACTCTTCGTTTGGGTTGAACATTTGTTCGATAGAGCATTCGTTCGATAAAATCTTCGTTCGACCGAACAGACAAAAAAAAGTCATCAACCTGTATATGTAAAACACGTGGTCGGATCACTTTCCACTTGTACTTAAATGTGATTTTGGAATATTAATGTCAAAAAAGTTTTATCACGAGTAGCTTTCACCATGGACTAAGGATGCTGTTAGGCATTTGTGAAAACTATATATTTGTGAAAGCTGGTGCCCACGGATTTATTTATAACCTTAAGAAAAGTCAGGTCGTGGTCTTTGGGGTTAAGAATACGAAACCACTCGAGTTATCTCTGGCCGTACCACGACAGTACGTCGCATGCAATATGTGATAAACCTCCCCGCGGCATATTATGTTACTGCTTCCGTGGCCGAACGGTTACCATGCTGGGCTGCCACGTAAATGTCTCCGGTTCGATTCCCGGGCCGGGAGAAATATTTGTGCGGCCTACATTTATTTCTCCCGTGAGGTTCGGTGCAATTTGTTGTTGTCTATACGCGTGTCCATGGCACCCAGTCCCAGGTAATAAGATTTATACTTTTATCATTGAACTCGAATTTTATTTGATTCCCTTTCGATGGCGGCAATAAACTTACATTAATTGGATTTTTTTATTCCATTTCGTTTTTTTTTACCTCTGGCAACCTACTGGGATATTGAAAATTCCATTTGCTGCCAGTGGCAACAACAGGTCTTTTTGTCCCGTTTGTCACTACTTGGTAACATATGGGATTTTTTTCTCATTTGTCGCTGCTGGAAATCACCACTGGTAACAACTGAGACTTTTTTATCCCGTTTGTCACCACCTGGTAACATATGGGATTTTTTTCCCATTTGTCGCCAGTAAAAATCACCACTGGCAACAACTGTGATTTTTTTATCCCGTTGGTCACCACCTGGTAACATATGGGATTTTTTTCCCATTTGCCGCCAATAAAATTCACCACTGGAAACAACTGGGAATAAGCCAAAAAACAAATAACATATACAAAGTAACATATATAAAGTAACAATCGTGAAAACCTAAGAATTCGGTATTAATTATATTGGTTAAACAATGTTTTACAGGACTGGAAGTTGGTGTATGATTCGAAGAAGGTGACTTTTCCGAGAATATCCAAATTTTCCGACCATACCATTATGGTGAAGTGGCGCATACCGGAATGTATAGATGGAGTCAAGGGCTATGAGGTATAAAATACTAGATAGTTCTCGTACCTCGATGCGCTTGTAGCAGTATTTAATTAGCGCAAGGAGATTCAGATACCATAACTGCAACTCTAGGCTGCGGTTCCACCAGAGATGTGCGAGGTAGCTAGGCAGTGCGAGGATGCGTACTGAAACTGAAACAGAGTGTAGTATTAAATAAAACGTAATTCGTTTGTGATGGTTTATTTCTTCAGTCAGAGTACAAAAGTAAAAAGACGATACAAAAGATTCTGCGCTTATTAATACAAATGTCTTCCCGCCAAAACCGCCAAACATCATCGAGGAATAGCTGTTTTGGCGGTATTGGCTATGACTACCAATAATACCAAAAGATGACAACAGATGGCAGATTACAAGCGAAGCCAATAGTTACGATACAGTGTATGTCTATGGCACCAAGAAATATTAATTGGCAACACCGATATACATAAGTAAAAGGTCATCTGTAATTAAAATTTCTCAACAATATCAACATTAACTATAATCCTTGAATTTATTGTTTATACCCATTGACTTACAATTATATGGACGTCGGGTCCGCGCTAAAAAGTGTCCGCACTTGTAAGGCGCTAAAATCGTATACAGAGCGCGACACTCCGCTTTAGTCTTCATTTGTTCTACTGACAGCGCGATACTGCGATGATATTACAATTTAAATTTCGAATAGGTTGACTTGGGACATTTTTTTCGTGGTTTTTGTATTAGACCCGTCGTCCATATAATTGTAAGTCAATGTTTATACCAAATTCTATGTAAGTTTGTGAAAGTGATACATTTCAATAACCATATTTGTTCGAGTATGATACAATATACAACGTAGTATGCAAGATACGACCAGTCGTGATTGCAACATAACAGTAATCTTTCAGCAGAATTGTTTCAGCTGTGCGTGGGTGGCGTGCGGTGTGGTGGTATGAGTGGCGGTGATATTCCTCCCTTTCTCGCACATATTTCTCGTTGTATGTACAAATGCTTAGCTCCGCTAACCCGTTTCCACCAGACCTTATTTCTTGGCGGGGGGAAATCTTTATAGATACCCCTGAGCCCAGGGAGACTCAGGGGTTATGTGGGGATTCTCGCTCCAGACTGGAGGGCCTACCCCACTAAAAACCCCCCGGGCTTACTTCTCGCCTGTTGAGTCGGCGCCGTGGTATAGGTGAACATTCACCACGACGCCGCCCGGGTTTCCACCAGAATTGCGCTAAGCGACGCTAGGAAAATGGAGTAAATCTGTTGGTGGATTTTTGACTCGCACACCGCCGAGCTACGGCGCACATTTGGTGGAAACGCAGCCTTATTCAACAAATTCAAATTCAGAGTACTGATTGGTTTATATCTAGGTAATAGTGCCTCAAGGCCATCGAGTATGTAACCAGAAACAGAGACGAAATATCCATCCCTGGAAAGTCATCAGGCAAATGGGCCATAAATCACTTTTAAATATCAACTCTCGTTTGCACTGAAATCACAAATTAGAAAGCTGAAATAGTACAGCGCCAACAACTGACCTGTGTCGTCTATTTCTACTACGTCTCCTCATATTCCAAAAATATTCTGTATTTATTGTAATAAAGATAATATCTCTAACTATGGGGGGTTGCTCCAACAGCGAAACATCTAATTACGAAACAAACGGAATCACATTTCATCGGTAATTAAATATTATAATGTAATTTTAAAATTTTCGTCCATTATAGCAAAGTTCTAAACTGGTCGATTTGAAGTGAAACAATTGACGACACCCGTCAATTGTTTCGAATTCGGGCTAGCTAATCGGACCGCAGTTGCCACCACCGTAGTGATATGGCAGAATAGTTTTCAAACAAATTAAATGACATTTCGTCTCTATGTCTGGTTATATACTCGATGGTTAAGGCACTTACTGAGTGAACTTTCATATTGTGGAAGTTTACCTGTCGGAATTTTTAATCCTTTTATAATACGATTCCGTCTGATATTCAGAATTTTTTCTGAATCTGAATTGCAAGGTTTTAAAACTGTTGAAAGATACAAAACTAGGATGACAAAAATTCATGGTAGTGATCCATGTACCTCGTTGATACTTGAAAGGAGAGAAGGAAAACATCGTTATGAAATCTGTACATCAATAAGGTTCACAACCCTTGGAAAACGTGTAAAGTCTCCAACCTACATTTGACCAGTGTGACGCACTATGACCTAACCCCTCGCCTGAAAGGAGACCCGTACCCGTTTAACTTACAAATGGGTTGAATGAACTTTTGTTCACAGCTACTAGCGGATGGCAGAGCAATTGAAAAGATCTTTAACCCGACTCGCAACATGGCGGTGGTGACGTGCATGCCCCACACCCATTCTGACAAAATACAAGTGACGATCAAAACGCTGCTTTCAAAGCTGCACCCAGGCGCACAGCTTCCTTCAGTTACAACTGTATATTATCCCCGTACTAAATAGTTCTTACACGGGAAACATTGGTGAGGTTGTTATGAAATTAAATCATAGATTTTACACCTGTCCTTAATTGTTTTATTACAATACTATGACTACATAGATCGCAGGGGAATCCCTTGTGTCTGTATCATCGAGTATATAACCCGAAATAGAAACGAAATAAGTGCCATCCATCCCTAGAAACTCATGAGGCAAATGGGCCTTATATCACTTTTAAATATCACCTTCGTTGGCGCTGAAATCACAAATGAGAAAACTTAAATAGTACAGCGCCAACAACTGACCTGTGTACGTCTTCATATTATATTCCAAAAATATTCTTTATTTATTGTAATAAAGATTATAAGTATCTCTAACAATGAGGGCTGTACTATTCGGTGGTGTGGGAAAAACAATAAAACATCTAATTACAAAACAAACGGAATCACATTATACAGATATGTAATTTAATGTAATGTGATTTATGTAATTTTGCAATTTTCGTCCATTATAACAAACCTCAAGTTAAACTGGTCGTTGGAAGTGAAACAATTGATTACACTCGTCAATTGTTACGAATTCGGGCTGGCCAATCGGAGCGCAGTTGTCGCAGAAATGATTTGGCAGAATAGTTTTCAAACAAATGACATTTCGTCTCTAGTTTTGCTAATACACTCGATGATCTGTTTAAATGCATGTATGATATTATCCGCACAACATCGTAGCACGAACCCTGTATTCAGAATTCGCACTGAATACAAAAAATTACATAGTAAAAAAATAATTTCTGAATTTGTGCTGCACATGGGTAGCACCTTCCAATGCACACCATAGGAAATTAAAGTAGGGTGTCCTCTTAGAATAATAACTCATAGAAACCTAGCCCGCACACGCTAAGTGAGGGAAATTGAAGCGCTCCCAATGGGCCTACACGAGCGGGCGGGCCTTCAGTGCTCAAGGTCAACTTGCACCGCGAACAGCTCAAGAATTTTAGCTAAAAATGACGAAATGTGCGGTAAATGAGTGTACAAATACGTCAGACAAACATAAAATAGATACTAACATCACATTTTACAAGGAAGTAACGCGTTTCAACTTGTATTTTTATATAAGTATTCACTAAAACCGAAAATTAACCTACTACTAAAACTAGCCTACATGAATTTGATTTTTGCCTCACTTGTGACAGTTCGTTTGATATTAAACTATCATTCTATGCGTTATTATTCTAAGGGTGTCCTCATCTAATTTTGTGTTATGCCGCGTTTTCACATTCGTCCGATAGGCGATGCGAATAGCGATGCGATGCACGTCACGCATGTGTAAACGGTCACTTCGCCATTCGCGTCGCGACTCGCATCGCGCGAAGTTAGGTACGAGTGGCGTCGCGAAGTTAGATACGAGTAATCTGTTCTTCTAATCTGTTATCTATAATTCTATTATAGAATCCTAATAAATAAATATTGATACAATATTATATTTTTCATTAATTCATTATCTAGACTAATATTGAATATTTAAAAAATATATTAAAAGCACTTTAAATGTTAAGATGTCATATTTTGGACAGGTAACTTTAAATAAAGTAAACAAAGTATTTGAAATTGCTTGTCCAAGTTTATCATTACCAAGGTGATAATTAGGTGTATTCACTACGTAATATTTATCGGCAATACAAATAAAAAATTCGGGATCCCTGGTCTAGCTCACGAAGTTATGACGTCTTATTATATTGGTATAATAAATCTGTATTATATATTACTCTGCACTAAAGAAACACACAGCAGTCTCAGACATAAGTTTTGTTACTTACTTCGTTTCATCTTTCCAAAAACGAAAGAAACTCCTTTTCTTTACCCGTTTAGATGATTATAAACAGCCGTACACAGCACAATTCACGACCATTATAAATAGTAACGTAAAATGATGTTATTTAATAACCTACAAATTTCGTAATTAATAAATGAAAACTATTCAAATATCAAAGCCGTCTTGGCTCGCCGACAGCCTTGTTCTCGTTCAGTCAATGTGACCATCAATGTGCGGGGCATGGTGCGGCATCTAAAGCTAGGGAGGGGCGGAGAGTGTCCGTTCTCGTTATTTATTTATTGTCTGGTTTACGCATGCGTGTCGTGCATCGCATCGCTATTCGCATCGCCTGTCGCACGAATGTGTGAACGCGTTTCAACCACTCGACACGAACGTTTCGTCGATTGTTTCGACGAAACATTCGAGTATAGCCAGCACGATAGTGTAAACGCGGTGTTAGAACATACTTTTGTGTAAAAAAACAACTTTTTGTTTTGTTTTTTTAAATGTAAAAATAATGATATCTTGTTTTAATGCCTAAATAGTATTTGTGCCGTGTTACTTTTTTTTGTACTATTATTTATGCCACTCGTCCATTACAATCTCTGAAACATATTTTTCATACTCTTCGACAGCCTCTTCAGGTGATGAAAATCGTTGACCGCGTAACTGGTTCATATTTTTTGGAAATAAATAAAAGTCACAAGGTGCCAGGTCGGGACTGTACGCAGGATGCCTCATAAGATCATCTTTGTTCACCTTCAAAAATTATATAATAATTTGTCTGTCTGGCCGTGTGAGAACTGGCATTATCGTGGTGCAAGATGATACGGCGTTTACGGATATTTTTACGGAGTTCGTCAATAACTTCCGGCAAACAAATGGTCGTGTACCAATCACTATTCTCGGTACAATAATTCTCCACAGCAACAGTAGCCACGTGTCCAGTTTTATTCAAAAAAGAAGCAAACATGCGCTTAGAAGCACTTTGCACGCGCGCCATTTTGATTGGTTTCGGCTCATCTCGAAAGATCCATGCGCTCGATTGCTGCTTTGTTTTTGGATCGTAATTGTACATCCATGTTTCGTCACCTGTTACTATGTCACACACCAAATTTGACTCTCCTTCGTTGAATCTGGTAAGCATGGCATAGCACTAAGAGACGCGATCCGTTTTTTGAGCCTCAGTCAAATTGTGTGGGATCCACCGAGAGCAAAGCTGTTTCACACCCAAATGTTTGTGTAGTATTGATTGTATTTGACTCATGCCTATGCCTAAAGATGCGCGAATCTCATGGTATGTCACATGCCTGTCTGTTTTGATCATACGGCGCACAGCATCGATGTTTTTGTTGTTCACAGCAGTGGACGGGCAACCATCACGAAATTCGTCACAGAGATTCACACGACCGCGTTTGAATTCTGCAAACCAGCTGTAAATAGTCGCCTTGCACGGTGCTTCATCGCTAAAAGGTGTTGAAGCCGAGCGAAGCTCCGTTGAGCTGTTAAATTACACTTAAAGTCGTAGAAAATCATACTATGAAAATTTTCACGAGTTAAATCCATGGTCATGTAGACAACTAATTTCTAAAATGACGCCACAATGTAAAATCAAGTGACTGAAAGATGAAACAAGATGTACTCTACAGCCAAAGAATTTCATTTTCAAATGTTGTAATAACTTTTTAAATATTGTTTATGTAAGTGGCCAGTTCCGTAAACTTATAGTGCGCCCTATATAAATGTGGCAGTTGGTAAAAATAACAGAAAATGACCAAAAAATAAAGTTGGCGTAATGTTCATTGGAGGTATAGTTTTATGCTATGGTAGTTTTAGAATGGTCGATTCTCCCGAGAAAGAGCACGTAGACATAAAACTAAGTGCAAGTGTAAAGTGTAATTTTCGAAATTTCTAAATCGATTCTGGTGTAGATGTTCGGAGTAGTGCTTGTGGATTAATTACTTTCGTTACTCTGGTTCTTAATTCCCTACTTCGAGGCTAGATATTTAATAGAATTATATGGCACACAAAAAAAGGAAATAAATAGTGACACGCTAAACGTCTTTTTTATGATACAAAGTGAGCTTTAAGTTCTGAGTGACACTGCAACTGTTATGGACAGGCGTGTCGCTTACCATCAGGCGCACAACTTGTTCGTCCCGTCACTCGGTATTATAAAAAAAACTTTAAATCGCTAAGATCTGGGAGGTTCCCCACAAAGCCGACTTACTATGTAGAAAAGTATCACCTCCACCCCGCATTATATTACCCGTTTTTCCTGTTATACCTGCTTATACCTACATCACAGTTTAAATGATATTTTATTTTAGGCACAATGACTCATTCTACTTAATGATTTGTTCGGATATAACTTAGAAAAACACAAATTAGTTTACACTACCACTTATAACACACGTGCGTAGACAATACACGATTCGTATATCAGACTACGCATCAAGAATCAAGTTCAGTTTCGAAAACAACATACTCGAAGTTGCACGTTAGTTTTGCGCACAGCGATGCGCAGTGTGATTATCAATTATTAAAATATAATTAAGAATATTCAACAAGTGTAAGTGAACAAAATGAAGAAGTTGATCTATTTGCTTTATTTTTATTGGGCCAATGTTTGGAGTCCATCAGGTTTGTAATTTCTGTTTTGTTTTTCCTTATATTTTGCATTGGCTTGTGTGCGTGTGGGAATTTAAGTGATCTCCGCCGCGTCTAAGATTTACTATCGACTCCAGTTTATTTCATTGTTATATTGTTTTTGATAACAGAGGAGTTCGTTCAGGGAAGTATTGCCACCTTACCTATTTTTGCCGCCAAGCAGTAACGTCAGCATTACCGTGTTCCGGTTTTGGAGGGTAAGGGTGCTGGTGAAATTACAGGCACATGGGACTTGTCAACTTATGTCTCAGGGTGACAGGCGCAGCGGCAGTGCCCCTAAGATTTAAAGCTCTGAGTTGCACTGCAATTGTAGGTAGGCGTGTCGCTTACCACCAGGTGCACGACTTGCTCGTGTGGTTACTACGTATTATATAAAAAAAAATCAATTCATCTGCAGACAAAATTTAATTGATTTTTTTCTACTATTATGCTATTTACACAGATATATAATACTACTAGTATAGATACTCAACAAACAAAGAAATCTCGCACTCATAACTCCGCTTATTTAGACGTTTATTTTGCTGTTTAACGCTGATCAATAAATGGTACATGGCAAAGTTGACATTTGATGCGATTGTAATAATATTCGAAAAGGCCAATAGATGGCAGCTGTTACATTTTTGTCAAGGTTATTGCTCTTGATTAGCCGTTGATTAGTATTATAT